TTTTCTTATCTGCAAAATGTAAGTTTTAATAAATCACCTCTATTTATTTCCCAAGGGATTGGGCTGGAAGAGAAAAGTTAAATTGCCTAAAGCTCCTCAGAGAGATGCTTTAAGAATAGATGGTGGTATTTCCACTTATTCTCTTTTTATAGTCATGGATCTAGTGTGATATGTAATATTGAATTATCACAACTTCTTGATATAGTATTGTTTCCTTATCTAGGAAAAGAACCGGGCCTTTCTGGAATGGGAATAGCCAGTTAACTCCTGGCTCCCTGAGCTGTGTACTTTCTCATTTAAGCTTAGGCTATACTAGGGGAAATGATATTGGTATAAAGCCAAGTCACTTGGATGTGAGTTAAAAGGCCACAGCTATCTGAATTGGTTGAACAGGATCCCAGGGTGGTGGTGTTCAAGCGTTTTTTACACTTGCTAAGGGAAAACTGAGCCAAACAGTCAACAGAGCCAAATAAATGAATCTAGGGGCCCAGGAGTCTGTTACTGGCTGATGTAGACCTGACCTTAATTTTTGTTTTCTTCTGGAGAAGTGCCCTAGGAAATTTTTAAAAATCTGTCTTCCCAGTCATAGTCTAGTATAGCACTTAACAGTCCACTTCTTCTAAGACTGTATACACATATAGAATATTCTAGAAACTAGTTTCCTGGCCGTTCGACCCCCCTGACAATAGGGATCTCATGTGCCTCTTAAGGTTTCTGCTATACCACTGTTTCCTCTTCGGGGGCAATCAGGTCATTTCATATCTTCGAACTCTACCAAACTTCCTCAGATAACATTTGTGTTGTGTTCTTAGTTTAACTTACTGTCCCTCACAAGGGAATAAGTATTTCTGTTTCTCCCAGGGGTTACCATAATAGCAACTGCTTTTCATTGTGTATTTGGTTTCAGTGTGGTATTGCAGCAACAGCACTGGCAGTCAGGAGATCAGTATTTTCCTCTAACAAAACAAGCCATGCAACACTGGGCAAGGCCCTTAACTTTTCCAAGCCTGCTTTCTTTTCTAGCAGCTGAAGAAGCTGATAACGATTCTCCTGTTTAAATTTGACATAACTGGTTTATTTTTATCTTGAAACTCACAGAATCTACCTCCCTTTGGCTCCTCTGAATCATAGAGCCTGCTTCTAACCACTATACAGGAGTGCATAGCATCATTTGCTCTATTTTTCTTTGATTCTGACTTCCTCAACCATTTTTATTTTTTTGTGTGGGAGGCATTTGGATAAATCTCAAAGTTTTTTGTGTGTGTAGTATGAGGCAGAATATACATACATAAAATAACAACTAATACTAACTGAAAGTTACTAATCACTATGCTGTTTACTTTGAGAAGCATTATAGTCTGGTGTGGTAAATACTATAACAGGATTGAGTACAAGACACAATTAGGATCATAGAAGAAGAACAAAGGAGGTGTTACAGAGGAAAGAGTCTAGGAAAAGGGACAGTTGGGACAACAAAAGTCATGGAGGTGACAGTGGGTTTGGTTTATGGATGAGGCAAGAATGGAGAGTTATGGAGCACTGAACGACACACCATAATCTTACGGGTTCACCGTTCTTGAGACTACTGATGATTATGGAAGTTCTCAGAAAAAATTAAACTTTACTAAATTCCTATAGCAACTTGACAACTGTCGAAGAGGTAATATGTCTGTAGCTATTCATCGTTTACCAGATCAGGTTGATTCTCTGACATCTGACGCTGAATAAGATAGATCTGGGTAGAATTGTTCTGAGGCATCAAAAATGTGTTGCTTTTAATTTCTGGAGGTCCAAAATTAAAACTTTCTTGAAAATGCTGATCATTTTAATCTTGAAATTCACTGGTATTTATGGCATCATTGGGAGAGGTAACAGCATGAAGAATTTATTATGTAAAGTTAATTATCATTTTTAATACAAGAATGTGAAGCCCTTGAATTTAAGCAACTTAAATAATTGAAAACTGATTTTTAAAAAAATACATCTCTATTCTCCCTCCCTGGTGAAAATTCCACAATATGACAAAGATTACCAGAAAAGAAACAATAACAAATCTATAACAAAAATAGATTTAAATGTATGACAAAAATAGATTTAAATCTATAACAAAGAAAGGAAAGCAGGACAAAGCTTGAGGTACAGACAATGGAAACATGAAATAGAAGAGGAATTCATCAGGATTATTAAAGAGCTCATCACAGTTATTAATTGGAGCTCTACATTTGGAGCTGTGCCTTTATTTTTCTTTTCTCCTTGTGTTAAGTGTGGATAGCAGCTGTGTTTACCCACAAACTAAATCCTTGAGTGTGGGTGCTAGACCCAAAGAGGTAGGGCAGTGCCTCTGTAATGTACTGACTGCCAGGTGGGTTAGAAAGCCCACACACACAGGAGAGAAGCCACTTGTCTGTCCCCATTAATCACTGGAAACAGTCAATGGTAAACGAAAGAGCTGGCAAACAGAGGTTCTCAAACAAAAGATGAGCATGTAATTATGACACATCACAATATGAAGAAAATCAACACCATGAAAAAAAGATACCCAGTGAAAAATCAGAAGAAAAAATATTCAAGGACCTAGAGGTAATAGAGTTATCAGAAGAAGACACTCAGAGAGATATAGAAACGTTTTATATTCATAAAAAAGAATCAAGCATGGAACTTAGAAATTTAAAATTTAAAATGAAAATGTCCTTTAAGACAACTCAGATGTAAATTAGGGAAACTAAAGATTGAGTTAGGGAACTTCCACAGAGTGCCATGCAAAAGGAGTACTTTGGAAGTATGGGAGAAAATTTAAGAGACAAAAGAAATAGTTATGAAAGTTCCAGCATCCCTCTAAATCTCTAAAAAGAGAGAAAAAATAAATGAGAGAAGATAATATTATCAAAGAAATATTTTTAAAAAGCCTCAAATATGGAAAAAAAAGAATATCAGATTTAATGAGCCCTCTGAATATCAAGTATAATTAAGAAAAGAACCATACCTAGACATATTGTGAAGAAAAAGAAACCATTAATTATAATCTCTCTCATCTATACACATTAACTCATACACACACACACACACACACACACACACACACACACACACACAAGCATTATTTCTGATTTTACCATGGGAGATGG